AATTTGCCCTTTAATTCGTTCCTTTAATTTGTTTTTCATTCCGCTAGATAACAAAGACAATCAAGTGAACTTAGAGACAGACTACTCCCTTATTTCGTATCTGATACGTATGCTGAAGACCAAATTGATTATTCTGAATATTTAAAAATAAAAGGACCTATCAGTTCAAATAAACTTTATCAAAAGTTCGATATAATATGAAAGGAATTAAAGAAAAAAAAGAAAGAACAACCCAATTTTATTTACGTATATAATCATTGTAGAGGAAATAATTATTCCTAGACTTTCTAAAATATCCTTGCACGAAAAATATACACGCACACACAAATTCGGATGAAATATTTTCCATATAGTTACACAAATTAGTTACATCAAAACTACATATTATTTTTCATAAATCTAATGGATACATATATCTAATCAAAATCGTAGTCAAGCTCGTATTACTTGCCATATTATTAATAATCGTATCAGTTACATAATTAATTGCCTACTATAACTATATAATAATGCAATTAGTAACTATATGCCAAATAATAACCCAGGTCTCACCACGTAAAGGTGCTCCGAGTGGAGATCCGCCCAACCACCCTCCTTTCGCGAACAAACATTTACTAATTTCAAACATGAATTATGAAACAGGAAATTTTCAAAATCAAACGCGAAGAGTGCTTCGTCACTTAAAACTCCCGAAAGTAAGTACGCAACGCTATTAATCCATGCACTCTGATTTAAAAATGCGCAACACTAATTGCGACGCGTCGAACCATGCTGGAGATTGCTGATGAATTGCTCTTGTAGCTGCATCAGGTGATCCAGGAACAGGAACAGTCTTCCACGAATCCAGTGGAAGAATTTGGACATTTAGTAAACGCGACACTAATAACTACTACGCGATCGTTACTACATTATCGCAACACTAATAATTAAAGGAAAACTAATTGGAAATCGCGAAGGAACAACATCGCAACACTAAAAGTAAAAGTGATTGGAAATAATGTCGCGATGAAATAATATCGCAACATTATCTCTAAAATCAAATTCAATGAAAATTATTATCAACAATATAAAAGCTTTACGAAGAAAAAAATTACTTTGAATTAAGATTTTAACTGATTAAAAGCAATGATTCTATAATCTAATTTAAAACAACAGAAAATAATGTACTATGTACAACACTCATAAAAATTAACAATCAAAATTGCAAAAAACAATCGCAAGTTTGTCTCTAAAGCAGACACGATTATCATTTCCTCGCAACTCTAATTCAACCCGTGATCAATTTTTCGCAACAATAACATGAAAAATCACGATTTGCCCAAAACGATGATGAAGAATGATGGAGAAAAAAATAAAATAAAACTAGAAATACTAAAAGAGCATAGTGACAAAGTAGTAACGAGAATGATTTCCCATGCTCTGGAATCATTTGAATGATCCAGAGGATGAGAAGCCATTTGTTGTGACCCTCTTCGTGGCAGTTTGCCGGGCCTCTTCGGCTTTTAGCCTCTTCTTTCTTCGAGCGCAATGCCCGCTGAAACTTACATCTAGCTCGAGTCTTTCTACTCGCAAACTAAAAAATAACTTATAAAGGTGAAATGAAAAGATAAACCGCGAAAGCTGACCCCAATACACATGGACGACCATCGATCATAGTGATCGTTGTTCGTTCGCATGTGCGTGCTCGAGCAATACCTACATACACGTTCGCTTCGGGACCTACTCGCGATTTATCCACGACCGCGACCGCGGTATTAAATTCGAAAAATCGAAAAGTAAAATCATGAACAAGTGGCATGCTCCATCTGTACCAATTTCACTGTCGA